GTTCCTATCAGCAGCTGGGAGTCGACTACGTCGCAAGCTGCAGAAGAAGATCGAAGCGAGACTGAACGTGATTCACGAGTGCTTTAAGGGCATTCAGATGGTTAAACTCAATGCGTGGGAGGATAAAATGCAGGAGAAGATTGAACGCGCCAGGAAGGAGGAGAACAGAGAGCGTCGTAGAGTGAACGTTGTGGCAGCTCTACAGTACTGCGTTGGAGTGGACTCGCCCAACTTGGCCTCTATATTCATTTTCGGGTGGGTTGCGCTGCAAGATTCTAGTGCGTTGTCACCAGCGCGAGTTTTTCCGGCGCTTTTGTTGCTGCGTCGCATTAAGACGCACTTCTCCAGTATCGCGGTGCTTTTTGACGTCGCGAGTAAAGGCCACGCATCATTTTGCAAGATTGACAGTTTCTTGACCGAATGCGATGCTAAAGCTTGTGCTCGAAACCAGACCGAGGATTGTCGGCGTCCACAGATTAGCACTGCCGGCTCCAGCGCGCCAGAAACTGTAGTGGCGATGGAGCATGCATGCTTTGGTCAGTCAACGGAAGAAGGGAAGGCATTGCTGGCTAACGTAACATTCCGCTTACGGCGAGGACAATTGGCTATGATTCAGGGGAAAGCAGGTGCTGGAAAGTCCACAATACTCAATGCACTGCTGGGTGATATCGAATGTCTTGATGGGAGCGTTTATATCGCTAAAGATTGTCGGGTTGCATACTGTGCACAGGAGCCGTGGCTGCAGACGCTGAGTATCCGCGACAACATCCTGTTTGGATCGGCTTTTGACTACAAGAAGTACTGGTGTGTGGTCGAAGCGTGCTGTCTGAAGGATGATCTGCGGATGCTGCCAGAAGGTGACAATACACAGGTCGGGCCAAAGGGAATCAACTTGTCTGGTGGACAAAAGGCTCGTATTGCACTAGCGCGTGCATGTTATGCCGACGCGGACGTATACTTGCTGGACTGCCCGTTGGCTAGTGTTGACGCTATTGTCCAGAACGACATTTTTACCAAGTGCATTGTGGAGCTGCTGCGGTTCAAGACGGTGCTTATGGTGACGCACAATCGAGAGCTGTCATCATCTAGTTTTGTGGATCATGTGCTTCGTATTGAAGATCTCACAGTCGTCGTTGAGTCTGCTGAAAAAGGTTGGGAAGTCGGTCGTCATCCATCCAGAAGAGTGGATCCAAGAAACTCACTTCCTCCATGGAAGAGCGAGGAGCCACAAGACAATAAGAAGGAGACATTGCATCCACGCGGCCTTGCGCTTTGGGAGTCTGCTGCGCTGCCATTATCGTCCACAGCAATGCTTGTGAAACCAAAATCTACGAAATCACCAGTGACTTCGATTACTACGCAGGTACCTGTAACGTCAGAGTGCGTTGGGCTTAAAGTGGCCAGGAAGTTCAAGTGGAAAGAGGAGTGGTTTTCGATCAAGACGTGGAAAATGCTCTTGAAAGGCAACAAGTGCATGCGCTTTCACGTTCCAGCCAAGTTCTTTCTCTTTCTCTACGCTGTCGCTGTCACCTCAAAGGATGTATTCCTGATGAAATGGAGTGACCGAGTTGATCACGGAGACGTCTCGTCGATGAAACACTCAGCGAACGTCTACGGTGCTTTAGTGCTCAGCTCCATGATCTCTGGATTCGCCAGCTCTGTGCTGCATGCTCACGCGATGGCCAACTCTGCCAACATGATGTTCCACGAGATGACTGCAGCGCTGCTGCGTGCCCCGATGACGTTCTTCTACTCAACACCCGTGGGAGAGCTATTCAATCGATACTTCAACGATGTTCGAGTGCTAGATACGACGTTCGCATTGGCTTTTATGGCCATGTTCCGTTCGGCTATAACGATTCTCGCTGCTGATGGCATTCTCTGGTACTTCACGGGTATTGCGGGTACTAGCATCCTGTTGATCGTGATGTACGTGGTCAAAGAGTTCATGACGTTGGGGTTCCTGGTGGGTTTGCTGCAGCTCTCGTTCCGTGCTGAAGCTGCCAACTTGAACTTCATTTCGGAAGCGCTGGACGGCTCCGCGACGATCCGTGCGTTCGGTCGACAGCAAATTAACCGTTTTCGAGTGGAACATGGAGTGCTGTCCGATGAACTCATGAAGGGCCAGTATCACACTGAGGCGTTCAACCGATTCGTGCTGATCCGCTGTGATCGTGTCCTCGGCATTCATATGTTGCTGCTGATGGTGCTGCTGTCTATGAACAACGTGTCTCCAGCTGAGCTTGGCCTGATGCTCTACTACGTATTCACGATCAACTCCGATGTCTACACGTTGAGCTCCAAGCTGCTGGAAGTTGCGCTGTGTTTGCTAAATGTCGAGCGAGTGCGCAAGTACGGACTTATCGAGCCGGAACTGCAGAGTTACGAAGGTAACCCACTGGCAATCCCTGCAAGCTGGCCACACCGCGGCGATGTTGTATTCGAGAACGTTTCGTTCAGTTATGCTAGTTCGTCGAATGATGACAAGCAATCGCTGGCGCTTTGTGACGTGAGCTTCTCTGTGCAAGGCGGTGAGAAGATTGGCGTGGTTGGTCGTACCGGATCTGGCAAGAGTTCGTTAGCGATGGCTCTCTTCCGTGTACACCCGTTGGCTAAAGGACGCATTCTTGTTGATGGGATTGATGCGTCATTGCTGACGTTGAATGCACTGCGTACAAACGTGTGTATTATCCCGCAGTCGCCGCTATTCTACAGGTGTTCAGTCCGCAACTACCTCGATCCGTTCAACGAGTTTGGTGACGTAACGCTGCTGGACGCGTTGCGTAGATGTGGACTCAAGGGCAGCATGGCCAACCTCGAAGCCGAGCTGTCCGACAACGGCGAGAACTGGAGTTTGGGTGAACGACAGATGCTGTGTCTCGCGAGAGCTG